GCGACGTGAGCCTACGCTGGGGCTGCGGGGAATCGCCAGCGGCTGCGGGCTCAGCGGCTTCCGGACACCCGGCCGGCCGCAGAACAAGGCCCGCCGCTCGGCTCGGCTCGGGCCCTTCCGGAGCAGCTCGGCTTCTCCCGGCCCTTTCCGCCACGGCCCGGCCCCTACCCGGGGCGGACTCGGCTTCTTCCGTGTGTTTCCTTCGCGGCTTGGCTCCTCCTCCCACGCGGGGCGGAGCACGCCCTAACCTCGGCGCGGCTGCCCCGCTGGACCCCTACTGCACCCCCTCGCCCTTGTCTCCCGGGTCCCGAGGCGCCCAGCCGCTCCCCAGGAAGGCACCAGGAGGCGACTTTGATCTGTTTATTGACCCCCAGCAGGCAGCGGGTCGGGCTGGGCTGGGCGGCCCGGCGGGCAGGGTCCGAGTGCGGCACCCCTTGGGTCGCCTGGAATGTCAAAGAGGGGAGCAGCGCCGGCCTAGTCATACGTCCAGGGAGGAGGCTGGGGACAGGGAGGGCGTCCGCGACGGCGTGGCGGTCCCCGCGCCCAGCACACGCCACTGGAAGATGCTGGCGTCCTTGCCGCCCAGCGAGACGAGGTACGCGTCGTCGTGGGTGAAGCGGACGCTCGTCACGTGGCTGCCGTGGCCCGCGAACACGCGGCTGGGCGCCTGGGCCGAGGAGGGAGGGTGAAGCCCGGGTCCCGAGCGCCGCAGGAGGGAGCCCGGCCCCCGACCCGGCTGGCCCGCAGCTGACCTTGGCATGCGCGCACGGGTACTGGAAGAGGTGCACTTTGCAGAAATCGTCGGCCACGGCCACCACGCGCTCGTTGTGGGAGCGGCACAGGGAGTTGATGTCCGTCCCGTCCGAGCCGTCCGGCCACACGCCTGGCACCGCGGGAGTCAGGCCGGCCCGCCGCCCCGCCCACCCTCCCCTGGCCCCCTGCCCCCTTCCCCCTGCCGCGCCCCGCTCACCATACACGTGGAAGCCCAGCACGCAGGTGTAGGTGGCCCACTCGCGGTCGCGGCTCTCATAGCGATTCCTCAGCAGCTTGCAGCCCCCAGCCACGTCCCCTGGGTACAGGGAGTCCCCTGCTCAACGGTCAGTCCCGAGTTCCAGCCAGGAGGGCAGTCAGGCCCACCCTGGGTCTCCCAGACCTCCCTGCCTGGGGCTCTAGGCTTCTCTGTCCTTTGAGGGAGCTGCCCCTCCACTTGCCCTGACAGGCAGGCCCCAGGCTTTCCTAGGAGGGAGGCGGGGTGTGACCTGCAGGCTGTCCGCCAGGCATAACTTCACCCTTGCAGCTCCACCTAACACGTCGCCCCTGTGCATCTGACGGCCCCTCTATCTGGAGTTCCCCAAGTATCCTCTTCCATCCCTGGGCCAGGAGGCCCCAAATAAAGCCCACCCCAACCTCCTCCTGCAGCTCACAGTAAAGAATCTCATAGTCTCCCGAGTTGGACATGATGAAGTTGCCATCCTTGGACCAGTCAAGGTGAGTGATGAAGCTGGAGTGACCCTGGGGACAAGGGGAAGGATTTAAAAGTGGGGGACGCAGAGGTGGGGTGGAGAGAAGTGAGGAGACGAGAGCCAAGGTGACCGTCGTGCACTGCGGATGTGGACTAACAAACATTCGGAGATTGTTTCAAGTGTGTCTAAATCAAAAACCTTCAGAGCATAGCTGCCGTTTCCCAGCCGCCCCCAGTGTGCCAGGCCCCGAGGATGTCCCCTGACACCAGGCCCAACCACCACCCCAGCCTCCTCACCACACAGCGGCCGAAGCGGCTGGACTTGGCACCGTCACTGGAAACACTGTAGATGTAGATTGTGTTGTCATGGGAGCCGATGGCCAGGTACAGGCCGTCTGCAGAGACAGTCACTCAGACAGGGAAGGGCCTGGGGGGACCCGAGTCCAGGGTGGGGGTGGCTCCCACCTGGGCTGTACCGGACAACTGAGAGCTGCTCATTGCCGTCGGTGACATCCGACACGATCTCCCTGGTTTCTGTGTCCAGAACCAACCACCTGGCAGGGAGAGGAGGCGACAGGCAAGAAGCAAAATGGACAGCGAGCCCCATGGAGCCCCCAGGCAGGGTGGAGAATGGCAAGCCTCAGGTTGTGATGCCAGAATTCTGGAGGCTGAGGCAGGAGGTTGCAAGTTCAAGTCCAACCTGGGGAACTTAGCAAGACCCTATCTTACAATTTAAAAAGGGGGCCAGTACTGGGTGTGGTGCTACACACCTGTAATCTTAGCACTTAGGAGGCTGAGGTAGTAGGATCACTACAAGTTTGAGATCAGCTTGGACTGAACGTTGAGTTCAAGACTAGCCTGAACTACATAGTGAGAGCTTGTCTCAAAAAACAAATAGATAAGTAAATGGGCTGGGGAGGTAGTAGCTCAGTGCAAAACTCTGGGACTCAACCCCCAGTACTGCAAAAAAGAAAAAAACCCAAGGTTGTCAGGTAGAGGAGAGGTCACCATCACATTCTCAGGCTGGGAAATGAGCAGGCCAAAGTGAGGGGCTTCTGGCTTCTGGAGCCATTGGGGAAAGAGGCAGGAACCACAGACTGGGGCTGTGTGGAGGCTCAGCATGATCCCTCGGCTCCCCGCCCGCAATTCCTGCCTCTCCACAGCCGGCCACCTGTGCCTCCTGGAGAGGCTGGGAAGGAGTGAGCAGCAGCAGCCACAGACCAGGCAGGAGCCCCCCAGCCCACCTGCACCCCCCACGAGCCCTGAACCCTCACCTGCCGGTGTTTAGTCCCACAGCCACGACCGCCCCGCTCGGGTGGAAGTCCGCACAGAGACCAGTCTCCTGGCAGGGGAGGAGGGTTAGGAGGTCAAGGTGCCTTCCCGAGAACTGCAGTCTCTATCCCTTCAGAGCCACCTCCCAGGTGGGTCCCTAGAGCCAAAACCACAACTGCCAGTGGGAAGTCTCCCTGCGCAGGTGGGGCCAGGCAGCTCTCAGAGTCGCTGAGCACAAGAGCAGCCAAGGCAGTGCGGCCTGGGGGGTGAGGAGGGTGGAGGGTGGTGTGGCATCAGGCCCGGGCTACACCTTGAGGTCGAGGCTCCAGGCCAGCGCGTGTCCCTCTCCATCCCACAGGCAGAGCTGCCGGTCATGACCACAGGTGAGGAAGCAGTTCTGCGCAGGGTGGGTGCAGAGCCCCCAGAGCTCGTCCGTGTGGCCCTGCGGTGGAGCAGTGTGCCTGTCACCACTGCCTTCCCAGCAGCCCTCCCCTCAGCCCTGCTACCAACCTGGATGACCGGGGAGAAGCCCTGAGCCAGGTCTCCTCGCAGCAGCGCATTCCTTGTGGTCCCCACCAGCAGCTCAGAGCCCGGCCCCTCCGCAATGGCCCGCACAGCACCAAAGTGCTCCGGAATCTGCAGGCAGAAGCAGGTGTCCAGGACCAGCCTGGGACCGCTCCTCCCCTCCTGGACCCAGACCTGCGCTCACCTCCGCCTCCTGGAGGGCCACCAAGCCCGGCCCCCACTGCACCAGCCGGCGGTCGCGGCCACCACCACTCAGCACTGTCCCGTCCCGCCGGAGACACAGGGCGAAGATGGAACCTTCATGAGCGTGAGCTTGGGCCACGATCCCATAGGTCTCTGTGGACAAAGCCTCAGGAGTCATGATCTTGGGGTGCATGTGGCTGACATCACAATAGCGGTAAACACTTGGCTATGTATCATCTGCTGGGTACCACCCCTCATCCTCACCTGTGCAGCTGTGCTTCCCATCTTACAGATGGGGGCAGAGGCTCACAGAGACCAAGGTGCTTCCTGCAGGCTAGGGACCAGCAGCAAGCTGAGCTCTGACCAGCCCTCCTCCCCCTGCCCCTCCTCGCCCCTGCTCCTTAACTGCGAACTCCAAGGTGGAAATAGGGGGCCCCTTCCCTTGTCCCAGCAGATCCTCCAGGGGCAGCTGTCCCAGCCACCAGGGGCCACACACCTTTGGCCCCACCCCTGCCTGGCGTTCTGGAATCAGAGAGGCTCCGGCCCCAGGTGAGAATGTTCCCCTCCGAGTCCCCGGTGAGGATGTCCCCATCAGGGAGGAAGACAAAGCAGGGGATGAACTTGGGTTTCTTGTATTTCTGGGGAGCGGGGCAGAGGTCAGAGTTAAGGGCAACCTTGAAAGTCACAGGACAGCTGGGGATTGGGGGCAGCAGGGCTGCAGAACCCGGCCCCCCACGCCTCACCCCAAAGACACCCTGCTTCCGCGCCAGGGCACCATTCCCAGGAGCCCCTGTCCCGCTGTTCCAGTTCCAGAAGTGGACGTGGGATTTCCCACTGGTGACAATGCAGCTGCTGTCCCGAGGGCTGAAGCCGACAGCCAGGACTGAGTCATTTGTGCTCTGAAGGGGGAGACAGGATTCAGCCAGCCCAGCCCTGAGCACCCACATCTGCCACCCTTGAAGGGCTCCCTGACAACTGCTGTGCCTCGGATCCCCAGCACCACCAGGAAGAACTGTGGCCCCCATTTCACAGGAGGAGGGGGCAAGACGGGCCGGGAGGGGTCTGCCAGGCCCCAGCGGGGAAGGGTGTGAGCGACAGCCAGGGCCCCTACCTTGATCTCTGCCAGCTTGGTCCCCCGGCCACAGTCCCACACAGACAGCATGTGCTCGTTGGAGTCATCCACCACGCAGAGAAAGGCTCCCTGATCCTAGGGGTGCAGGGCGGGCCAGGTGAGCATTCAGGTGCAGCTGCCCGAGGGCCTTGGGCAAGGGGCAGATGAACGGATGTGGGTCCTCTCCCGGGAGAGCGGGCTTGGAGCGGCTCAGGAAGGCTGGCGAGGCTTCTTGGGGGTATGGGGAGTCTGGGGCCCTGAGCCAGCTCACCGCTATGGAAAAGGCCAGGGCCCCCACGCCGCGCTCAAAGGCACCGAGTCCAATTTCCTGCAGCTTCAGCAGTGTCTCTGAGTCCCAGATGTGGACCACTGGCTGTAGGGGCTGTAGAGGAGAGGGTAAGAGCACAGGACTGGGAGCAGGGCCCATCTGTCTGCCCAGGGTCCAGCTCTGAACTTACCTTGCCATCCTTGTCCACGCCAGCCGTCTGTCCTGAGGCCACCCGGATACCGTCAGGGTGGACAGCAAGGCTAGGTGGGAGAGGACACTCTCGGAGGGTGGTCTCCCCCGAGCCCACCTGAGTCACCTCCCTCAGCCCTGCCGCCCACCAGCCCCTCTTTCTGCCAGACCTGTGCCCCGCTGGGCTCTCACCATCGGACGCAGTCTGTGTGCCCCCGGTAGTGCCTCTGGCCACCGCCTCCGGGTCCCCCGGGGCCTCCCCCAGGCCGGTACAGCACCACCACACAGGCGATGAAGTAGACCACCTCCCCGGAGCGCAGCACAAACAGATTGGAGCGGGAGTCCCGGCCCCGGTACCCATAACTGGGCAGGAACCAAGTCAAGGAAGGGGCCTGTGAGGCAGGCGGGGTAGAGAGGGAGATGGGGCACTGCAGGGCGGGGGGGGGGGGGCAGGACTCAGGGGTCCTGTCTCCTCAGGGCCAGGAGGCAGCTTGGGGAGGTGCTTCCCGGGAACCTGGGCAGGATACACCCAGTCGAGGCTGAGGGTCTCGGGGGGCAGGCCACTGGGCAGCTCCTCGAGGCTGCGGATGCCGGACGGGATGTACATGGTGATGGGGCGGCCTCGGAGGAACATCTTCACTGAGATGCCTTCTGCAAGAGAGGGCGTCAGCACCCCACGCTTGTCCGGACGAGGAGTCCTGGGCGCAAGTGCAGCCCAGACCCATCCCCAGGCCTTCCTCCACCCTGCACACATACCCAGGTTGTAGTTGCTCCTTCGAGACCCAGGGCCCCCAGGGCTGGAGAGGGGATCTTTGCCCCCACGGCTGTAGGGAAGAGAAGTGTAAGGACCAAGGCTGTGGGAGGGCTCAGAAGGAAGTCCCTTCCAAAACCGGTGACGAGGAGACCGCGTCTCAAAAACAAGTCAAAAGGGCTTACAATGTAGCTGGTGAGTGCAAAGGCCCAGGTTCAGTCTTAAGCACCCGCCAAACCTTAAAAAGTATTTTTTTAAAGGACTGGGGGTGTAGCTCAGCGGGAAAGCACTCCTCTAACGTGAGCACCCTGGGCTCAAGCCCAGCGTCACAAAGAAAGAGGAAGGAAAACAGGCCACACAGGGACTTGGGGACAGTCACCTACTCTGGCCACAGGAGCTTCAGGAAGCGCCTCGACCCTGGGAAGCTGGCAGTGACGCCCAAGGTCCAGGGGCTGAGAGCTGGGGACTGGCACTCTGTGGCAAGGTAGGGCCCGAAGGGAGCGGGTGCCCCGCCCACCTCTCCGTGCTCCCCAAGCGCAGCAGCAGGTTGGCAGAGGATGCAGCCTTTCGGGACAGTTTCTGCCGAGGCCGCTCTGACGGGGAGGATGAGGACGAATTTCTCCGGGGTCTGGCAGGGCAGACAGGCAGATGTCGGTCTGGTCCACAGGCACAGCCCACCCGCACCCTGGTGGCCCATATCACCTACGTGTCCAGGCGAACTGGGGGTTGCCCTGGCCTGAGCACCCCCGGGGGTCCCGGCGACCCAGCCCCGCTGCTGCCGCTGCCACCTTCAGAGGGAGCCCCGCCAGGGACCTCGCCGCCCGCCTGCGGGCCTGGAGGGCCATTGCTCAGGCCAGGAGGGCCCAGGCCCGGCATAGAGTCCTCCTGTGGCTCCGTCTGGGTTCCCCGGCTCACCAGGGCTGGGCTGCAGGGGAGCGGCAGGCCTGGGGGCGCCGCGGAGCTGCAGGACACCGGAGAGAGAAGGAAGCGTGGCGTGTGGCTGCCCATCCCTGTGTCCGCCCCTACCTGTTCTTGTCCGCGTCCAGTCCCCATCCCCTAACCTGGCCGTAGCCCCATCTTTTTCCGTACCTGTCCCTGTCCCTGTCCCTGTCCAGGGGCCGCATCCGCAGCAGGCGCAGCGCCTCTGCCAGAGCGGCCTTCACGAGCTCCATCTCCTCCTCCTGCGCCTGCAACCGTCGGCTCAGCGCCCGCAGAGCCTCAGGGGCGGCGCCCGCACCTGGCTCGGACAGGACGCGGGCCGTGAGCGCGGACCGCACCAGGATGGACGGGACGGGGAAGATGGGGCACGGCCCGGGAGGGACGCGGCGGCGCGGGAGACCGCGCCGGGGACGGGGCGGACCTGAGCACGCGAGACGGGACGGACCGATGCGCCACCGCCCGGCGGTGGGGTCCGCAGAGATACCCACGGCCTGGGTGACAGCGGGAGGAGCCGGGGGACGGGGATGGGGACAGCTGCCCGCCGAACTCACCGGGCCCGGCGGCCCCGTCCATGCGGCCCGCGGCTGGCGGCAGCGGCGTCTACACAGCCGCTGACTCGGCCTTGCCCGTCCCCATGCGGGCTCGGGGCGCCGTGGGCGGCGGGCTCGGGGCGCGCAAACAGCCGGACGCCGGCGCAGGAAGCGCGGGCGGCGCAGCCCCTCCCCGTCCGCCCAGGTCCCCGCCCCGCGGTAGCGCGGGACCCCACTTCCGCGAGGCGGGGCGGGCTGTCCCACGGAAAGGGGCGTGGCTGTCTTCACCCGGAGGGCCGGGCAGTCCCTGAGCAGAGGGAAGCGTCCCCGAGGGGGTGTGCAGGCGGCCCCCACGGTGGGGGGACGTCCCCGTGGGGATGTTCGGACTGCCCTCACGGGGCAGGAGAACGAAGTGTCTCCAGGGCTGTGTGGAGGCTGTCCCAGCGGAGGGAGGGAGCAGGGCGCGCGCCCAGGGTATTGGGGTCAGAGCCGCATTAGCCTGCTCGAGCCGAGCCACGCTGACTCAGCCCTGCCCGTCCCTGTCCTGTCCCGTCCGGTCCCGTCCGTCCTGATGGCGCCTGTGCTGGCCCTGCCGCTGCCCCTCAGGGCCCGTGTGCGCCTGGCACAGGGGCTTTGGCTGTTGTCTTGGCTGCTGGCACTGGCGGGCGGCCTGGTGCTACTGGGCGCCGCGCACCTCCTGGCGCAGCTGCGCACCCTGGGCGCCTTCCTGCCCCCGAGCTGCCACTTCCCAGCATTGCCCAGGGTTGCGCTGCTGGCGGGCGCTGCGGCTCTGGGAACGGGGCTGGGGGGTGCGGGTGCCAGCCAGGCCAGCCTGGACGCTGCGCGCTTCTCTGCCTGGCGCGCAGCGCTGGGTCCATTACTGCTGGTGGGTGCGCTAGGCGGTGGGGGGCTGCTGGTGGTCGCCCTGGGGCTGGCCTTGGCACTGCCCTCGGGCCTGGACACAGGGCTGCAGGAGGGGCTGGGGTCTGCCCTAGCCCACTACAAGGACACAGAGGTGCCCGGGCACTGCCACGCTAAGCGGCTGATGGATGAGCTGCAGCTCAGGCACCGATGCTGTGGGCGGCATGGCTACAAGGACTGGTTTGGGGTCCAGTGGGTCAGCAGCCGCTACCTGGACCCCAGCGACCAGGACGTGGCTGAGTAAGTGATTTCTGCTCCCTGATCACCAACCCCAAACCTGCCTCACCCAAATGGGCAGTGGCTGAAGCCACTGAGCCTGGGCCACAGCTCGGCCAGGATCACTGCAAAGCCCCCGCCCCGGGGGCTGCAGGCAGACACCTGGAGGGGCTGCCCAGGCTGGTCTGCTGCAAACCGAGGTGGCAGTGCTGGTCTCACACACCAGTGGTCATGCAGTTAAGGGACCTGTGCACGCCTGGCACTCAGCACCACTGCCCATGAACACCACTCTGCTGTCTTTCCTTCTACATTGCAGACACCCAACACCCTGTCTGTTCTTGCTGCAGCCGCATCCAGAGCAATGTGGAAGGCCTCTACTTGACTGATGGTGTCCCCTTCTCTTGTTGCAACCCCCACTCACCTCGGCCCTGCCTGCAGAGCCGCCTCTCGGACCCCTATGCCCACCCGCTCTTCGATCCTCGGCAGCCCAACCTAAACCTCTGGCCCCAGGGGTGCCACGAGGTGCTGCTGGATCATCTACAGGGCCTGGCGGGCACCCTGGGCAGTGTGCTGGTTGTCACCTTCCTGCTACAGGTAAGGGGGACACCCGACTGCTCCGCCCTGGGGACCCCACCTCAGGCCCAGCCCACGTCCCCCCTTGCTCCCTGCAGGCACTGGTGCTCCTCGGCCTGCGGTACCTGCAGACAGCGCTGGAGGGGCTTGGGGGGGTCATCGACGGGGAGGGAGACACCCAGGGCTACCTCCTCCCCAGAGGGCTCAAGGACATGCTGAAGACAGCGTGGCTGCATGGAGGGGGTGCCACAAGGCCAGCACCTCCCGAGGCGCCCCCAGAAGAGGCCCCTGCCCAGGAAGGCCTGCCTGAGGCCTAGGGGCCAGGGTGGTGGGGGGTGCCACAGATGTGGGGAACTCAGCTTCTTGCTGGGAGGGCCTGGGTTGAGAAACAGTCCACAAGCTAAACAGGGTCACAACGGGCATCCTCATCCACCTCTGTGAACAGGGAAGGTTAGGGATGACTGGAGGCTGCTTCTGGACAGACTTCATAATAAAGCTTTCGGACAGAAGCCACTGTCACAGGCATGTCTCTTCATAGAGATGGGCCCTAAATGAGTGGGTCTGTGCCCAGGGAGAGGCCAGGCTGCCAACTCCCACCTGCGTCAGCCTGCACAGGAAGCAGGAGGGCTATACCACACAGAAACAGGCCCTGGGCTGGGTGTTTATTCTGGAGGCAGGAGGGGGTTCACATGCTCAGGTGTGAGGGCCCAGCCCAGCTCCCCCAGCCCCCGCACGCCAACCCCAATAAGTTACCCTTCCCCGCAGTCTGACTGTCCCTGCTGACCACTTGTCCCCAGCCCATGGGCACTATTGCATGGCAGGTCTCCAGGGAGGAGAGGCAGCTGGGCCACACCCTGGTGAGGAGTCAGGCCTGGGGAGTCCCACAAGGTATGTGCCCAAAACAGCTGGAAGTCACGCACAGTCATCACACCTCCACAGCCCGGTCCGAGCCTCGGCCCTGTCGCTGCAGCTGCTCCTCCTGCTTCATCTTAGGCTTCTCTGTCCGCGTGTGCCACACCAGCACCTGGCAGAAGGATTCAAGGTGGAGCCAGGGCTGGGGATGTGGCTCAGTGGTAGAGCTCTTACCTTGCATGCACAAGGCCCTGGGTTCGATCCCCAGCACCACATACATTTAAAAAAAAAAAAACAACAAAAAAAAAACAAGGTGGAACCAGGCCAGGTCGCAGCCAGGCATCTGGGTCCTCCAGCCCTCTATGTTCAGTGCTGGCCATAAAAGAGTTAAAAAGCCAGGAACCGGGCAAGACTGGGGCCTTTGTGTCCTCTGCTCTTCACACCACACAGTTCCCAGAGTGACAACCCACTCTCCCACCTCACTCCCAGCCCTCCCTTCAGTAGAGCAAGCAGAGTGGATGAGGTCTGAGGGTCCCCCCTGCTCAGACACCCAGCCCCAGGGCCACCCCACATCCCCAGCACCTGCCCACCCCACACCAGGTCCCAGCCACCACCTTCCCTACCCGGGTGCAGTTGGCAGCCCGTGGCTCCAGGTCCTTGGGGTCCACGAGGCGACTCAGGAGGCTGCTCTCCAGGTGGCCCCGAGGGGCAGCAGCATCAAACTGTGCATCGGGCTTGGCCAGCAGGAGGGGCAGGGCGACCGCGAACCCCGCCATGTCCACAGGGAAGGGCCTGGTGGGCTCCCACGCTGTGTGGAACCCCACCACCCGGCCATCCTGCACCTGAGGACCCTCGAAACGCAGGCCCCCTACCAGCCCCACTGGCCACACTGAGACACCCCGGGTCCAGCGCATCTGCCAGAGATCAAGAGAGGAGACAGGGTGGCCCCAGGAAGGAGTAACAGAAGTTCCCTCCACCCAGCGTGCCCCACTTCTCATCCCGAAGCCACAGCGCTGCTGCTGACCCCCGTCCTCGCTCCCACAGCCCTCACCTCCTCAAAGAGAGCCCTGCTGTAGGTGTTGTCATCGTCAGCAAAGTACACGACTCCAGGGGATCCGGGGGGCGGCGGGTCCTTCTCCCCACCAACAGCGCCCCCTTGGCCCCGGAGCCAGGCCAGGGCCCCGTTCCGCTGCTCCACACCCCGGGGCCGGACCCAGCCAGGCTCACCCTCCCGGAGCCGCTGGGCCTTGGGCGTGAGGACCGCCAGGTGGGTGAACAGTAGCCCGGAAGCAGCCAACAACCCCGAGACCAGTGGGGTGGGGCCCTCGGCATCCTCCACCAGCAGCCAGTGCAGCCGAGGCACCAGGCTCAGGGTCTGAGACAGCCGCACCAGCTCAGCCTTCTGCACCAGCCTGTGGGACAGGCAGGAAGGAGCACTGCAGCCCAGCCAAGCAGGCTCCCCCACCAGGCCCACACTTCTGCTGACCGTTGCCTAGCCTGCCCTTCCACCATGGGGCTCTGTTGCTTAGGGGTGGGTAGGCAGTAAATTAAGGGGTGTCAGACAGATCTGGTTTGTTGTTTGTTTTTTAGTTTTTGAGACAGGATCATGCCATGTAGTTCAGGTACATGGTGACCACCCTCAAACTCATGGCAATCCTCCTACCTCAACTTCCCAAGGGCTGGGATTACAGACATATGCCCCTATGGCCAGCCCAGATCAGGCTCTGAGTCCCAAATTTGGCAGTATCAGGTGAGTCACCATGGGAAAATGTCTTTGCACTGCAAGCCTACCCAGCTGTAAAATAGGACTGACCATACTTTTTTTTTTTTTTTTTTTTTGATACTAGGAATCAAACTTAGAACCTTGCGCTTGCCAGGCAGGCGCTGTGCCACTAAGATAAATCCCCAGCCCGAATTTTTTTTTTTTTTTTTTTCTTTTTGGCCTTTTTGAGATAGGGTCTCACTATGCAATTTAGGCTATCCTGAACTCATTTTGTAGCCCAGGCTGGCTTTAAATTTGCAGTGACCCTCCTGTCTCAGCCTCCTGAGTGCTGGGATTACAAGCTTGCACTACCACACCGAGCAGGAGTAACCATACATGATGACAACATTGTTTTAAGAAGTAAAAAACAAGGCTGGGGATATAGCCCAGTGGCACAGCACCTGCCTGGCAAGCACGAGGTCCTGAGTTCATCCCCAGTATCAAAAAATAAATTAAAAATAATTAAAAGTAAAGAAGAGCCTTGTGCATGGTAAGCACACTCTCTACTTTAGTAGGATTTCTGTCAAAACCCTAGTTGGCAAGCTAAGAATTTGAAGCTGGGCATCGTGATGCACACCTGTAATCCCAGCACTCAGGAGGCTGAGGCAGGAGGATAGTTGCAAGTTTGAGACCAGCCTGGGCTACAAAGTGAGCTCAATGCCAGCCTGAACTGTACAGTGAGACTTTGTCTCAAAAAGACCGAAAAAAAAAATTTTATTTGCGTGAAACTTTACTTTTTTTTTTTTTTTTTTTGGTTTTTCTCCAGTACCGGGAACCGAACTCATGACCTTGCGCTTGCCAAGCAGGCGCTTTGCTGCTGAGCTAAATCCCCAGCGCCATTGAGTGAAACTTTAAAACGTTGGGTTCACCTATCCCATTGTTTGCCATGCTGTAGTTTAACAAGCCCATCACCTCCCACATTCACCCTCAACCACGAGGGTGGTTGCAGTCGAGGAGGGTGCAGTCCTCCTGGGCGCGTAGCACCCATACCTGGCATAGGTGGGGGTAATGACGTAGATGGTCGGCAAGGCCTCGGCTTCAGGAGGCTGGGCAGGAACAGCGGGAGGGCGGCGCAGGTCAGCCTGTAGCTGGGAAATCCTCAGATCCTTCTGCCGGAGCTGCTCGGCCGCTGCTCGCAGGGTAGGGAGGCAGTCGCAGGGCTGACCTGGTCCCAGGAAGCAGCGACAGGGAAAGGGACGGGGTCAGAGCACCCCAGACCGTTTACAGTCCAGAGCTTTAACCCAAGCACCTGCAGGCTCCCCTTGCCCTTCTCTCAGCTCTTCGCCTGTCTGCACCTCTGGCGTGAGCAGCGCACTGACTCAACGGCACCTTCTCTCCACCTTCAATGCACTGCATATACATTTGGGGGGGCTCCCGAAAACTGGAGAAGGAACCCGGGACTTCCTCACACACGCTAAGTAACCCCTCAGCACCGTGCTGCACCCCTGGCCTGGGAACTTTTATCTGGGTACTGAACGGACTGCGTGCACCCCGCCCCGCTGGCAGTCTTCACTTCAGCTCGGGACTCCGGAGGAACAGGGGCGCGTGCTACGCCGGGGCCGGCCACCACGCACGGCAGCGCCCGGGCCGGGCGCAGGCTCCGGGCTCGGGGGGCGGCGTCCGTCGCCCGCCCCCGGGGACACGGCCCAGGTGCTCGGGACGCGGCAGAAGCAAATCAGCCCACGCCAGCGAGGACGCGCACGGTCCGAGAGGGCACGTGGCGAGGTCACGGCAAGCGTGCCCGGGCCGCGGGAGGGGTCGCGCGGCCCGGGAGGGCGGCCGCCCGCCCGCCCCGCTCACCCAGCTGCACCAGCGCGTAGAGCAGGCCGGCGATCGACACCAGAAAGTACACGAGGAACACGTTCTTTAGCTTCAGCTTCATGGCCGCGCCGCTGCGGGCGCCCCGCCCGGAGGGGTACCCCGGGAAGAGGGGGTTCCCGCCTCCGCCTGCAGGCCCCGCCCCCGCCGCGCACCCCCACACCGGCTCCCGGCAGCGGGGGCAGGCAGCGCCGCCCGGTGCCCACTTCCGGTCACCGGTGCCCGCCCAGTGCCAGCTTCCGGTCTCACAGCCTGCTTCCTTCACGGGGCGGTAACGTCACATCCGGCGTGCGGGCGAGGGGCGGGAAGCCAGGCGGAGCGCGAGGGATGCGCTTGCAGGAGTGACACGGAGCAAGCTGCTAACCCCAGGGCTGGTCGGGCGGGGCTCTGCACTTGTGTAGACGGGAATCTCGCGCGTGCGCCGTGCCTGGCCGACCCTCCCGGGCGGCGGCGCTCGCTATGATCTTGAGAGTGGGGCAGGGGTGCCGCGCCGTGGTAGAAGGGTCTCCGTACCCAGCCCTACAAAAGAGAAAACCGCGCTCGCCTCCACAGCACACATAGTATACAAAAACTGGAACGGGGGGTTGGGAATTTAACTCAGCGGCACAGTGCCTGCCTGGCAAGCGCGAGATCATGAGTTCGATTCCCGGCACCGGAAAAACAAAACAAAACAAAACAAGGACAAAAAAAAGAAAAAAAAAACTGGAATGGTACAGGGATAGCCCTGCGCAAGGATAACACGCAGATTTGTGAAGAGTTCCTTATCTGTTGAAAAAAATGCATGGTACCACACAAACACATACACACACACACTCCCAATTTGGCTTGTTTTTTGACACGTTCTTGCTGTGTAGTTAGTGCAGGCAGGCCGGCTTTGAACCTGTGGGAGTTGGTGGTCTCTCGGTAGTCCCCAGGAGAAAAACGGAGAGAATTTAGAAAATAAAGACAAGAGACCATAGCCGGGGTCAGGTAGAGTTACCTCTTGCCTAATGAGCAAGAAGACTGCCCTAAAACAGTAGAGCATTTATTTATACCCTGGAGAGGTTGGTTAATTTCTGCCTCGCTGCCCAGCAACCAGTTAACAAGTTACAACGGCTTGTTTACTGCGAGGACCTCCCGTGTTCTCGGGCTGGCTTCATCCTGCACGTGTAATTATTTTCAATGGCTCCCAACAGCAGTCCTTCTGCCTCAGCCCCCTGAGTGTTATAGGCATGCTCCCACCACGACTTTTCCCCCCTCTTCTTTTTTTTTGAGACAGGGTCTTGCGATGCAGTTCAGGCCTTGAACTCACTTTGTAGCCTGGGCTAGTCTCAAACTCGCAACGATCCTCCTGCCTCAGCCTCCCGAGTGCTGGGATTACAGGTGTGTGCCACCACACCCAGCTCCCTTTAAAACAAGGCCTTGCTATGTACCAGCCTGACCTCGAATTCGTAATCCTCCGGTCTCAGCCTCCTAAATGCTAGTGTTACAAGTGCAGACCACTGCACTGTTGTGCAACAGCACTGTCCCTATTTCATAAATTAAAAATTAAGGGGCTGGGGATTTAGCTCAGCGGCACAGCCCCTGCCCGGCAAGCACAAGGTCATGAGTTCAATCCTCGTTACCGGAAAACAAGAACAAAAAATAAATAAATAAATAAAAATTAAAAGTTATTGCCATAGGCCAGAAGGCAATTTTTTTTTTTTTTCCTGAGACCACCTGTCTAGTCCAAGCTCACCTTCTAGTCCAGGGTGGGCTTGAATTCTCCAGCCTCCTGCCTTGGCCTACCTAGTGTGTCTTGGGGCAAGTTTTTTTTTTTTTTTTTTTTTTGTCTTTTTGAGACAGGATCTCAATATGTAATCCAGGCTGGTCTTGAACTCACTTTGTACTCCAGGCTGGTCTTGAATGCGCAACGATCCTCCTGCCTCAGCCTCCGGAGTGCTGGGATTACAGGCATGCACCACCACACCCGGCTTTCTGGTGTTTTTTTTGTCTTTGGGGCAATTTTCTATGTCCAAGTAGATGCCCAGCTCCAGAACTTGTGCTGTTTCTTCTTGGCCCACTTCTTTCCATCAAATCCCAGGATGAGCTGTTCAGGCTGCCTCAAAGGAACTGTAGCTGGGGACCTACATACACTCCAAACCATCCTGAACACCCTTCCTTAGAGGTTTCTTGTAAAATGGCCTCTGAGACACATGCTCATTGTATAAGATGGAAGAAGCTATTTCCTGTCACTAACACAATGGGAGGGTTTTTAAAACTGATACATAATCATATTAATTTTTTCTTTTTTTGTCTTTTTGAGACAGGGTCTCGCTATGCAGTTCAGGATGGCCTTGAGCTCACTTTGTAGCCCAGGCTGGTCTCAAACTTGCAACGCCCCACCGGCCTCAGCTTCCTGAGGCATGAGCCATCACACCTGGCTCATACAATTCAATACATGTATACACTCAATGTTCAGGGAAATCTTGGCCTTTCCCCTCAATGATTTCTCTGTTGTTGAAACATTCAAAATCCTTTCTGTAGCTCATGTATATAAAGATATAGATGTATACAGATATATATCACCTTGGTGTGGTGGCATACTACTATAATCCCAGCACTCGGGGAAGTTGAGGCAGAAGAATCCCAAATTCAAGCCCAGCTTGGGTAATCTAGCAAGACCCAATCTCAAAAAAGGCGGCTTGAGGATGTAGCCCAGGGTGAAGGCCCTAGGTTCTATCCCTATGTTGTGCCATAAAAATGAAGTGTACAGTACATTATCTAGAGTTACTGTCCTGTGCAATGGAACATAACAAGTTCTTGGTACTAGATAATCCCCTTTCCCTTTCTCTGCCTCCCCAAAATAGTTTTGTTTGTGCACCAGATTGACAACAAACCCCCAGATGAACTGAGTAAGCGTGATGCTGGGTGTGGGACTGTTGCCAGCAGCATAAGAGGCAGAAATGGAGAAGAAGAACGCTGCTGGGAACTGAGAAAGGCTGTTGGGAGCTGGTAGAAGCTGTTGGGTGCCTGTGGGAAGCTGAAACAAGCTGTAAAAAGCTTTTGGTTCTCTTGGAGGAGCTTGTCACGCTGACTTTCTTGATGAACCTGGATGTTTTCATCCTCCGAGGAGCTCAGGACCTTGTTGGCACTGAGAATAGCTTTGGTTCACTTTGGGGGAGCTCTGGTCCTCACTTTGAGCATCGCTTCCTGCCTCTGGAGGGGAAGATGATACATAGCTCAGTCTCCTGGAGAAGCTTGTTGAGTTGGCTTCCCTGATGGGAACTCAGCTGTCCTGATCATCTGAGGTGGTCGGGAAGCTCACCGTTGCTGAGGATGGCTGTAGTACCTTTCAGGAGAGCTCTGGTTCTTCTGAACATCGCTTCCTGGCTCCAGTGCAGTTCCCTCAGCCTGCTAGCACAGATCTTTCATCCCGCTGGCATTCCAAGTGCAGATCCGTGAAGCAGGCCTGCATGAGATATCTTTATGGGCTCTAGGCCTCCAGTTGGACTTGGGGAAACTATTATGAGCTCTAGGTCTTCAGCTGGACTCATGCAGGACATTTCCATGGGATCCAGGCTCTTGAATAGTTTCCTTGGTCTTAAGTGTGTGGACAGATTTCCTGAACACTTTGTATATGCTTCTTTGGGTGACTACTACAAATAACCTTATAAAATGTGTCCTGTATTATATGGTTCACCTTGCAAATAAGCCCCAAACCACAAGTTTGGGAGACAGGGTACACTGTTGTCTCAGGTAGAGTGAACTCTTGGGCTCAAGCAATCTTCCTGCCTCAGCCTCCCGAGTAGCTCCAGCTATAGGCTGGCATCCAGTTCAACAGTGGGATTTTCAAGATAGGGTTGTAGCTCAGTGACTGAGTGCTTGCCTAGTATGCATGAGGCCATGAGTTTAATCCCTAGCCCCACCAAAAAAAAAAAATGGCAAGTAGAACATGCTTTCACAAGCCTGTAATCCCAGTGCTGGGGAGCCTGAGGCAGGACTGCTACAAGCTCAGTGTCAGCCTGGACTACATAGTGAGCTCAAGGGTAGACTGAACTGCATAGCAAGATCCTGTCTCAAAAAAGGAGGGAGGTATTTTCTTTGAAAGTGCTGTTGACTGAAGAATCACTTTTCATGTCAGAACACCTGACCTGAGAGCTGTTTCAACCCCGTGGAGACACGGTGAGCACTGGCCCCACTCATCAATCGGGCTAAACTGCCCCTCCCGAGAGCACGGGTGTGGAGTGAGCACGGGTGTGGAGTGAGCACAGGGGCTGCTATGAGCTCGTTGTGCTAAAACCGAGGGGCTTGTAATGAAGCCAGATGAAAATGTCAGGCCCTGGGCCTTCTAGGCTGCACCACTGCAACTAGAATTCAGGTACCTGAAAATTCCGTGTCCTTTCTCTCTTTATTGTTTCTCTTATCAAAACGAGTCACAGTTGGGGCCAAGAGGTAAAAAAAAAAATAATCCCCCCCACCCCATCCCATTTCCCCATTAGTCCTCCCGACCCCCACCCAGGGCTTCGGGCCAAACCTGGGCACACATGATCATCTCCCCCACCCTGTCTTCCCCCAGCAATAAATACAGGTGACCGTGATCCCACGAAACCACAACCAATTTCTCCATCTTGCACACCCCAAAGGGACCATAAAGGAAGCAGCTTAATGCCCATCCCTCTTCACTGAGAAGCCATGGAAACACCTTCCCCAGGGCCAGGGAGGCAGCACTCCTCCCAGAGGGAGAGGTCAGGAGGAGAGATGGGGTTCCGCAGCAGCCACACCCCGATCCGCACCTCCCTTGCCAGCTGAGGTGGTCCCAGTGTACCCGTGGGGCAGTGGCCTGGCAGGGCAGAGCCAGGGAGAAGTAAACAGAGGGAGGCAGTCGGGTGGGGAGAGGGGAGGAGAGGAGGAGCCTTAAGTTCACCGCTCGTCTTCTTCAAGGCATTGACACAGGCGCGGAGGGCAGGGAGAGCAGGCAGAGCCTGGTGGTCCTCACAGCCACAGGACGTGGGGTCGGGGAGAAGGCTTCGAACTGACAGCGGTGGAGGGGAGGGCAGGTCGCAGAGGAACTCGGAGTCCAGGGACAGCCCTCTCATCGAGGCCTGATGTTCGGTGGCGTCTGGTCTCAGGTAAGGAGGGTGACGTCAGAGGCTGAAGAGGTGACTCTCCACCGCCACCCTGGGTTATTGCAGGTGAATGCTCCAGTCAGAGGCCACGTTGACGCCAGGCTTGCGCAGAACCAGCACCGAGGTCTCGGGGTCGTGCTGGAAGGACAAGCGGCTCTCGGGAGCTCCTGGAGGAGGTGAGAACAACCAGTCACCGCAGGGAAAGGCCACTTCCCTCCCAGAGGCTGGCACGGGCTCCACCCCAAAGACCACACACACCTGGGGTCTGGAGCACCACATCGGCAGGCTTCCCGGCTCCCATGATCACCACCCGCTCAATCCACACTGGAGTCTCAAAGTGGCCTCGGGGGTCTGCGGAGCTGAAGGGAAAGGCATCACCCGGGAGCAGGGAAGGGCCAGAGTGGGAGGGCCTGTGGCCAGGGGAGACCAGCGAGCGAATGGTCAGCAGCCGCCCGCCCCATGCCGGGCCAATACCTGGAGGCCAGCGTGCTGCCAGAGAAGGAGAAGCGCCGTAGCAGGAACTCCTGGCGCGTCTCATAGTTGAACGTGTGCCCGTCGTCCAGGAAGAGCTCACCCTGGGCAGTACCCTGAGCGCAAGTTGGGTGCAATGAGCCAGGCAGTGTGGCTCAGGTCAGGGCAGGGGCCTGGACACCACGCAGGCACTCACCTGGGGGCTGAGGGCAACAAAGAGCGTGATGGGGTCATTCTTCATGCAGTCTGAGGAGCGCCGCACACGCATCCACCGGGGCACAATCGTCCCTCCTCGCTGGAACACAGGGATCTAGGCGAGAGCATTGCAAGGCTGAAGGCCCCAAGGTCCAGGAGCCTCTGCTGTCACCCACAGGTGCCCACACAGGTCCTTGGCCACAGACACACGTGTCGCATGGCGGTTGGGGAGCTACTCACACTACTCAGAGTTACGGGCAGGTACAGGGTCTGTGGAGCATGGTGCTTCTGGTAGCTCTGAATGTCATACCACACCTGCAGGTGACAGTGAAGGAAGACACTGGTCACTGCAAGGCCACAGCCCGTGTGCTTCTGTTGGCTTCACCACCCTGCCCAGCACGCCTTTTTGCAACTCACCTCCCCGGGGCCAGGCAGATAGACCTGCACACCATGAGCCCCAGCATCCGACACAGGGTGAACCAGGAGCGCGTCCCCTACACAAATCAGAATCCACTCAACCTGGGGCACTAGCACGGCCCCAGGGCTCACACACTTGGCCCAGGGGTACATCAGCCCAACCCTCCCACCAGCCTCCTCTCCTCACCCAGCAGGAACTGGTCATCGATGCTGAAGGTGCTCACGTCCTGAGGATACTGCACCCAGAGGGGCCTAAGCAGGAAGACAGGAGGACACTGGCCATCATTCAAAGAAAGCCAGTGCAACAGATGGTGATAGACACGTGTGCAGCACTGCCAGGATCTCTGATAAGCACGCTAGGACTTGGTTTACATTAGGTGTTCTGTGGAAAGACTGACGTGTGCTCACACAAGAATGCCTGCCACACAAGGGTGGGTATTGCAAAGGCACCAGAGGAACAGCCCTGGCCCGAGGACCTGTCACAGGCCTATGTCACCCTGGAGCCTCACCTCTCTCACCCACAGGCTATACCCTCACCCTGACCAAGTCTACTTGCCAAGAAAGGCCTCAAGCTCCTGCTGGGCCCTCTGCCTGGTCCTCCCACCTCAAAGAGACAGTTTCCTCAAGCATCCTGAGCTCCCCAGCCATGTCCTACCAAACTGTCAGGATGGTGGGAGTAAGGGTCTTCCCACGCAGCTGGGGACAGCTGACACAGGCTTTGCTCCAAGCCACCTGCCTGGCCTTCCACTGCTCACAGGTACAAGGCAGCTCACTTTGGGCAGTCATGGCAACCCCATGGCACCAGACAGCATCCATGGCCACAGGACACTCCGAGGCCCCCACCATCATGGACACTGCCAGGTGACCCTGCAGTGCTGGGTCCACCCACCAGGCTGGGGCACACTGGTTAAAGCCCATGCTGATGCCACTCACTGAGGTTATCGAAGACTTCTTGTGCTATGACTGCATTTGCTTGCTCAGCAGTCTCTCCCTACAGTTCTACCTGTGAACTGGCATGTTCCTGGCAGTGCCTTTACCCAGCATGCACAGAACCACCAGTGTGTATGGGCCTGCTCTGAACACAGAGCGCAGTCCCCAGGAAGAACCCGGGGTGGACAGCGCTGGAGCAGCCTGGCTGCCGGAACAACAGCCCGCATGGGGCTGTGCAGCTCTGCAACCCACTGCCCTGCCTTCCCGTCCTGTGTGGAGTCCACGCAGAGAGCCTCACGGGCGAGGAATAACATGGATGGGCCTGCTGTGTCCCTGCAGCAGGGAGGAACCAGAGGCAGAGGCAAGTGGGAGGTTGCAGGGAGCACACATTCTGACCCAGGCACTGCAAGCCAGGGCACCAGTGACCTGGGGACATTGGCACAGGCCGCACTCTGCTTGGATCACACAGCGTCCCTGTCTTCCTTCTGTCAAACAGCTCGTCACTCCACAGTCAACAGTCTTCGGGTGCTTCTGCCGTCACGCGCTCCTGTCAGCTTCCCCTCACTCTACTTCCTAAGTTCTGGCCGGCTCTCCCAAGTCACTGCACTGCCTGACAGGCCCCAAGTGCAAGACCCTCCTGCTGCAGCCTCCCAGTGCTGCGATGAAGTTACAACCCTGCCATCAGACTCTCTCCTCCCGGAGGTCCTAGTGAATGGAGGCGGTGGCCCTGGCCTGGCCAGATCAGCCCAGTCAACAGCACATGTGAACGGCTCACCTCATGGCAGGGACGCCCTCTCGGTGGGCCTGGTAGAAGAGGGTGTACCAGTAGGGCAGCAGGGAGTACCGGTGGCGCAAGGCTTCTCGAATTACATCTTGGTGCTGAGGTGGTAGCAGCCAGGGCTCCCGCCGCCCTGTGTCCAAGTGGGCGTGAGTGCGGAAGAAGGGCTGGTAGGCACCCATCTGGTACCACCGCACAAGCAGCTCGGGGTCTGGGTTCTTGAAGAAGCCGCCCACATCCGCTGGGGAGGAGGAGCGGGTTCAGGGAGGGTGCAGGAGGGCAGCGGGCCGCCCTGGCACCCGCACTTACGGCTCTCACACCTTAGCCCCCCGCCCACCATCTGCCCTCAGGTGGGCCCCGATCCCCCCTCTCTCACCCCCACAGAAGGAAAGTCCCACCAGCCCCAGGCTCAGACACATAGGGACAGTGATTTTCAAGTGGTCCCACTCAGCAGTGTTGTCCCCTGTCCATACAGCTCCTGAGAAAGAAGAGAGTGCTTCATAGAGAGGGCGACCTGGGCCCTAGGGTCCCTCTCAGCATGATGGGGCTCACCCGCACCCTCAACAGGGACCCCCAGGACCACTGTTGGAAGGACACCACCAGCCGTGGCTCTTGTGGCCGGGCTCTGGTCCTCCACCACAGCTCTGCTCTCTAGGTCTTACCAAAGCGCTGGGAGCCAGCAAAGAATGCCCTGCTCAGGACAAATGGGCGCTCAACACCCCCGGAGCGCTGGATGAGCCCATCTGCAGTCGCCATGTGCTGGGGATGGGAGCAAGAGCCAGTGTCAGCTGGGGAGCTGCCAGCCCCTCCCTCCACCAGTGCTGCTCCGGTGCCGTACCACGTAGAAGCCATAGATGTTATGGATGTCGCGGTGCTCCCAGCCCCCGTAATGCTGGGCATCCTTGAGCATGGTCACCTCGGGGCCGTTGAATACAGATGGTTCGTTCATGTCATTCCAGATGTGGAGGTTGGGAGCAGAGCCCTAGGACACAGGCAAAAAATATGGACAGAACCGAAGAGAGAAGACAAGACAGTGCCAGTGCACAGCACTCCCTGGACCCAGAAAGATCTACTTTTCAGGGTGCTCATAGGATCACTGCGGCCCCCTAGTTTGCTACAGGCAACCGAGCAAAGCAGAAAGACTACTGGGAGAGGCAGGGAGGTCCAGGCAGACGCCATGGAGAGGCTGCCCTACCTCGTAGTTGTCAAAGCTGAACATGCTGGCCCACCAGGCCCTCGTGGCAGGATTGGTGAAGTCGGGGTAACCAGCAGAGCCTAGGAAGCAACAAGGACAACCTGTCAGCCCCCAGCAGGGAAGCCACTGTTCCATCCCTCACCTGTCCTCTGCTTCAGGCCTGGGCCTGCCTACCTGGCCAGCACCAACCCTCGTAGTCAGAGCCATCCCGGGTCTTCACATAGAGGCCTTGGTTCTGCAGCTCCTCATGTACTCGGTAGCCAGAGTCGACCTTGATGTGGGGGTCCACAATGGCCACCAGCTGGGGAGGACACAGCTAGTCAGAGCCTCCCAAGGCGGCCAGACCCCAGCCTCACCCAAGAGCACAAGCAGGGCTACAGCCCCTCACCTTCCGCCGCTTGGAGGCCAGGCGCTCGAGCATGTTGCGGGGCTGAGGGAACCGGCTGGGGTCCCAGGTGAAGTACCGCTTGCCATCAGCATGCTCGATGTCCAGCCAGATCACATCACAGGGGAAGTTGTGGTCATCAAAGCCCTGGTCCACTTCCAGCACGTCAGCCTCATCCCAGTAGTTCCAGCGGCTCTGGTGGTAGCCGAGGGAGAAGAGCGGGGGCAATGCCTGGGTCCCTGTGGGGTCATTGAGGGAAGGGGCACAGTGGGACTCAGGTCCGGCTGGGCCCTGTGGGGACACCCAAAGATGGAGAGAAGCCCAGGACTGCTAAAAACGAACAGAAGCAGCAGGGCCAGGAATCGAGGGGGCTGCATACCCGTGAGGCTGGCATACTGCCGAAAGACATCGAATGCAGAGGGCCCAAGGAGCAGGAAGACGTCGATGATGCCACTCTCCGACATCCAGCGGACGTCTGTCTGAGGGGTCTCCCCGGAGCCCTGCAGGTAGTCCAGCATCTTTCCAAACAAGGTCTGCAAGGGCCAGAGGGGCAACTGCTGCTCACACTCAGACTCAGCAGCAGCCGTGCTCTCCTCAGATCCTCCACTGGCTCAGCCTCTGCCACCCACCCATGCCAGCTCTGCATCGGCAGCGGCCACCCTGCCCTCACCCACCTGCTGCCCACCCCACACTGCTCCTCTCTGAGATGGGCCCTGTCAAGCTTATAGTACCACCAGACGACCTGACACAGCAGCCGCCAGCACATGCGCTCAGGCAGCCAGGGCACTACCCTGCACCCCTGGTCTCCCTGCCGGTCGCACCTTCCCCGCCGTGTTGGAGGAAATGTCAACCCAGGTCTCGGCGGCATTGAGCCAGAAGATACCCAGGTCTCGGTGAGAGCTGTGAGCCAGCAGCACAGGCACAGACCCGTACAGGGCCATGGGGTTGTCCAGTTCGTACTGGAACACGTCCAGGTTGTACAGGCGGTACGGCTCCCCACCCCTGCAGAGGAGACCGGGCTGCTGACGGCCTGGGCGCCACACGGTCTCCACCCGCCAGGCCAGGTGCTCCCCCAGGACTCACTCAGTGACCTTCAGCCGCAGGCTGTCTGCATGCTCGGGGATCCCATACACATGCTCCATGCCCGGCAGGGAGAAGTCCAAGCCCACAGATGTGGGGCCTGAAAGAAAGACGAGGCTGAGCCCAGAGCTTCCCTGGACCAAGACCCCTGGGCCAGGGCTTCCCCACCGCCGGCCAGGCTCACCGTAGGGCTTGCTGTCCGAGTGAGTCTTGAAGGTCTCCTCCCAAGCCCCTGGCTCTTCTGTCTCTACTGTCTCCTGGGTTTCCTCTGGCTGCAAGGAGGAAAGAGACCTAGACCCAGTCACCAGCGGCATCCCCAGCACCCACGTCAAGGCCCCACCACACCGGGTTCACAGCCTCCTCTCCAACTTGCCTTGTCTCCGTCCCCAGCCTCGTCCTCAGGCTGGGTCCCATCGCCCTCAGCTGGGTCTTTTGCTCCTTGCCTGGAAGGTAGGAGAGCTGTCTGCTCCAATCCAGAGGGGCAGGGACGAGGGGCTAGTGAAGGAGGGGTGGGGACAGAGAGCCACGGGTCCAAAGGAACGAAAGCACCAGAGGAGGGACTGAACATTAAGCCTGGAAGGGCCCCGCGGGTAGGCAATTTTCAGAGGATGGGGAAAGAACTGAGAAAGGAAAGTGGGGTGAATGCTGCCAGGGGTGCCTCCCACGGAGGCCCAAGTCAGTATCTCTGCTGGTGTCCCCGATGAGGCAGGCAGGCAGAAGTTGAAGGGTCAGATGCCAAGTGTGCCCTGCTGCCTCCTCCACCCACCCAGCCAGACAGAGCTGTGCCTAGCCATTGGGTCAGTTCAGGCCCAGGACCTCAGAGGCTCCGCCCAGGGTACTTGCCAGAGCAGTGGTGCGCAGCCCTGTCCAGAGCCCACTGGGTCCCGGCCGGGAGCCATACCCTGTCGCGCAGCATCCCGCCACCCAAGGGCAGTGGTTGGCCCCGATGCTCCTGAGGCTCACACCCAGCTTTCTCCCTGGGTTCCCAGCCAGGGGAATGGGAGCGGGACAGCTCAGGGGCCCCTTCCCAGGCCAGATGAGGGAGGGGAGGGAGAGGAACAGACATAGTACCCGTGGCCATAGATTTACCTAGAGAAAATGTTCTTGATCTTATCCCACATGCTACCGAGCGTGAGACTAACTTTATCCGAGAAACTGGGGCAGGAGGAGATGAGTAGGGAAGGGGAGAAGGAGGCACAAAACCAACACAAAAACAGAAACATAAAAGTGAATTTCAGTCGACAAACTTCCAGAGATGGGGGAAAGAAACCAAAAATAAACAATAAATAAATAAAAAGAAAATTAACTTGGGAAACACGATGGCTTAAGAGAGGGGAAAGGGAGAGATGGACCAAGCAGACCTCCCATCACTCAGGACAAGTCGCTGACCCCCGGACTCCAGGTCTAGGGCCTGACCCACAAGGGCCCAGCGCCAGGCTCACAACAGCCTAGGACACCCCGGGATCCCGCATCCACACCGCGCAGCCCAAACCCTGCACTCACGGGACCCTGCGGAGCCTCTGGTGCTCAAACGCCAGGAGCCCTCGGGCGTTGACACTGAGCAGGAGGCTGCGGCCCTCCAACAGGTCCAGACGGAAAGGCCTTGCAGTCAGGATGATCTTGTAGGGCCCCTCAGCCACCGTCACCTCCACACTGTTGTCATCACGGCCAGAGATAGACAGCCTGCAAGAGACCAGAGATACACAAGTCAGCAGGGCCAGGGGTCTGCCACAGGCTGGTGCAGCAGGAGGGGATCCTCAGACAGCGCCAGGCAATGTGGTCAGAGTGCAGGGACAGATGCTGAGCGGAGTGTCCTGAAGCTTGGGAACGCCACGACAGGAGATCATCAAAGGAGCCCAAAAAACACATCTTCCACTAGGGGAGAACAACGCTTCTCACATCAGACTAGACACAAACATCAACTCAAGAAAGGTTACTGCTTAGTAATTTTTTGTTTTGTAATGCTGGGGATGAAACCCAAGCTCCTGCACATACGAGGAATGTGCTCTGCCAATGAGCTACACCCAGCCCTATGGCTTAAAGTTTAAAACTAAAAGCATCAGAAGGAAATAGACACCAGTTGTTTTCTGACCTTGTTGATTGTTTGTTTTTTGGTACCAGGAATTGAACTCAGGACCTTGCACTTGCCAAGCAGGCACTGTGCCACTGAGCTATACCCCAGGCTCCTAACCTTGTAACTAACAGTTTTTTCTTTTGAAACAGGGCACTGCTACGTTTCCCAGAGGAGCCTCATTCACCTGGGCTGCAGAGGAAACACACCATGCACCGTAGCTAGCAAAGCTCGAAATTTCTGTTCATCAAAACAACATCGCTGAGGTGGGCCGCAGTGGGGCACTCCTACAATCCCAGCACTTGGGAGGCTGAGGCAGGTGGATCACTGCAGGTTCAAGGGCAGCCTGGGCTACATAGCGAGACCGTGTCTCAAAAAATAAAAATTAAAAAAAATAGGCAGCGGGGCTGGGGATTTAGCTCAGTGGCACAGCGCCTGCCTGGCAAGCTCAATGCCCTGAGTTCGATTCCTGGTACCGGAAGAAAACTAAAAAAAAAAAAAAAAGAAAAAACGGGCGGCATCATAGCTCACACCTGTAATCCCAGCACTTAGAATTGGAAGTTTGAGCCCAACATGAGCAACTTAAAAGATTTAGCAAGATCCTGTCTCAAAAAATAAGCCTGGGGATGTGTCTCAGTGTGAAGACCCTGGCTTCAAGCCCCTGTAGCTAAAGAGGTGGGCAAACCAGGGACACCGAATATCACTAGGTAAGACCCGTGTTCATCTATGTCCTCCCAGGCCAGGCCGGGAGGCGGCGGTGTATACCTGCTGCCCGAGTGAGGACAGTGAGGGGCAGGTGGGCCGGAAGCGGTGTGGAGTGGGGAGGAGCACAGTAAGAGCAAAGCCAGCCTCCAAACAGGGTCGCTGGGAGCGGGAAGGAGCACAACACAGCAGGCTGCTTGGAAAACACGCACCGTGCCACCGGGGGCTCAGCCACGAGGACATCAGGCACCCGGTAGCGGGGCCGCAGGGGCTGCAGCTCGTCCACCCTGAGCCGAGTCATGTTCTTCTGAAGCCCTTGCAGCTCCAGTACCAGCACCACCTGCAGGAACAGGATTCATACGTAGGGACAGGTGGCACCCTTAGAGCTGTTTCCTCAAGGGACCAGTCAGTCCCAAGAACAGGCCAGCGCAGGACATCCCACACGGCTGGAAGCCGCCCACCCTGTCCTCCTGACCTTGGTGACCTCGTGGACCAGCTGGACTGTGAGGCCATCAGGCCCAAGCTGCAGAGAGTCCAGCAAGGCTCGGTACGGAGAGAGTCCTGGCCGGAGGCTTCGCTGCCGCCTGCCAAATCCAACAGGGGGCAGGGGAGTGAGGTGGGAGGTACCAGACGCCCCCACTTGCCAGCTTCCTGGGACACCTCCCACATCCCCTCCTCTCCAGCCCTCTCCAGAACCCGCATACTTGCAGAAGGAGCTCTCTTCACAGGTCTTAAAGTTGCTTCTGTCTACAGCAAGGGCGCTCACCAGGAAGAGCCCTAGCAACGCCAGCACCAAACTCACTCGAGACCTATGGGGAAGAGGAATTGATCAGTGTGGGCTTGGGAAGGGGGCCACCATCCTGTCCTGTGCTGCAAGACAGCTCAAGGAGAGGGGAAAGAATGAGACACACTACAAGGGTAGAAAAGCTAGGTGTGGTGGCTCACACCTGTAACACCCATACTGTGGGAGGTTGAGTCAAGATTCCAAATTGAAGCTCAACCTGGGCAACTTAATGATAAAAATGAAAAAGGGCTGGGGGTGTGCAAAGGCCAGGGGTTCGATCCCCAGTACCGCAAATACATGAACAGGAAAAAATATAAGAGTGAACATAGGTGAAGGGCCAGGCCACACCTTTCACCCAGGGACACAGAAGTGAGGAACTGTCCTGGCCCTTGGAGGCCCTGGTGCTAATGCTGGTTACATCAGCCTCTCAGAGGATGGCAGCAGGGACAGCCAATCCCTGAGGTGAAGGTGGTAGGGACAGTAAGCAAGCTGCATTTCCCAGGGCCAGGCACCAATCGGGTGAGGACCAACAGAGCTGGAAGCTACAGGCAAGGTCTCAGTCAGCCTGGCATCGCCATCCCTGGCTTCCTCAGCACCCCAGGCATCCCACACCTTCAAACCACCACCGTCCTACGTAAGTTGAAAAGAACAACATTTAAAACATGCTGAGGACTGGGGATTTAGCTCAGCGGCACAGCACTTGCCTGGCAAGTGCGAGGTCCTAAGTTTGATTCCTGGTACCGGAATAAAACCTGCTGAGCCCTAATGCACTGACAAGTCCTACCCACTCTACATTCCTAGCTTTCAATTCTACTGCTCTGGTGTTGCCATCAAAGACTATGATGTAATTGGCCTGATGTGGGCCTGGGCTTCAATTCTTTAAAAGCTCACTAGCTGGCATAGTGGTATATACTAGTAGTCCCCTGCTACTTGGGAGGCTGAGGCAGGAGAATTACTGAGCCCAGAAGTTCAAGACCAGCCTGGGCACCACACTATGATCACCTTTCAAAAGAAAAAAAAATTTTTTTTTTTTTTTTTTGTGAGACAAGATCTCACTATGCAGTTCAAGGTAGCCTTGAACTCACTATTATAGGCTACACTGGTCTCAGACTCTACAGCAATCATGATGTAGAGTGACTGCTGGGATTACAGGTTGTGCCACCACACCTGGCAAAAATTTTTCTTAAGTAACTAGGCATGGTGGTATATACCAGCTATTCAGGAAGCTAAGACAAGAGGATCTCGAATTCTAGACTAGTGTAGGCAATTTATCAGATCTTGTCTCACAATAAAATTTTAAAAGGCCTAGGGGTAGATCTGGGCATAGTAGTGCATGCCTATAACTGCAATACTCAGGAGGCTGAGGCAGGAGAATCACCACAAGTTTGTGGCCAGCCTGAACTACATGGGGAGGTCCTGTCTCAACAAACAAAACCCACTTCTTTTTTTTTTTTTTTTGTCTTTTTTTGAGACAAGGTCTTGCTCTGCAGTTCAGGCTGGCCTTGAGCTCACTTTGTAGCCTAGGCTGGCCTCGAACTCACGATGATCCTCCTGCCTCAGCCTCCCGAGTGCTGGGATTACAGGCGTGCGCAGCCACACCCGCCTCCAAAACCCACTTCTTTAATGCACTATCTTTCCTTCCTTTATCAGATGCAGCATTAGGGTTTCTTTCTAGATGAGACAATTAAGGTCTGTAACACGTTCAATAATCCATTCAAGCTTGAATAGGTAGAAAGAAGGGAAAATGAAATAAACCCAGTTCTGCCTGGCCCTGGACCCACATACTTCAGTGTGACACACAACTTGCTCACCACAAGCACAATGAACCCCAATGGCCTCTCTGGGGATTACCACCCCAAGGTGACAGCAAACCATCAGCTCTCAGTGTGCTAGCAAATGGAAGACAGGGACTAATAAATAAGCTTAAGTTTAAGTAAGTTAGTTTGAAGGATTTATTCATTTATTCTGAGTGAGCCCTGAACAGGGGCTCTTATTTTAGTTTCTGTTAAGAAACATGTGCAGTGCTTACTAAATGCTGATCAAGTGAAAATTACCTCTTTCAGTTTTTATTAGTTTTGCAGTGCTGGGGATCAAACTCTGAACCTTGCACTCTACCGCTGACGTACCTTCCCAAACCCTAAGGTACATTTTAAACACTTCTGGTGACTGCTGTGAGGAGAAAAAGGAGCACACTCTGAAATATGTTCCAAATGGGAGAGTTGAGCAGAGGGACATGCAATGAAACTGCAATCTACAGCAGGTTAAGCGCAGGGCCTACTGTCCACGTTGTATCTAGCATTAGTCTCAGTATCTGCTCAGAAGCTAAAGATAAAGAAAATTACCAGAGGACTGGGGATGTAGCTCAGTGGTAGAGCACTTGCCTAGCAAGAAGGAAGCCCTGGGTTCCATCCCCAGTACCACCCAAAAAAGAAAACAACAAGAAAATTATCAGAAAAGAGATCATAGAACACGTAAGCTCTCTAGGGCCAGAAGAATTCTGCAAGTCAAGCACGCCACACCAGGCCAGTCAGGGAAGCCAGGAATACATCAGGTACTGGTTAAATTGGCCAAGCAGGAGTAAGCACCAGCACCAAGCAGAAAGGCTTCACCTACACCAACAGCAAGGCACAAGCCCAGCTCCTGAGGAGTGGTGACCCCGTCCAACTGCCCCAAGCAGAGCAACCAGAGGCTCGGGCAGCTGGACACTCTGGAGCCCTATTCGCTGTCCAGGAGACGGGTTCACAGAGATGCCAGAGAGGGGACTTTCCCAAGCACCTATCAGCTGCAACCTGTGGAAAGCCCTAGAACTCGGGAGCCCTTGGGCAGCCCGGGAAGGGAGGAGCTGGAGGGCGAGCCGTGCCCCTGCACCGCCTCAGATCACAGGCTGCACAGGGCGAGCTCCGGACCCGGCGCGGGCGCCGCTCCCCGCGGACACTGCCCGTCCCGGGACCGCCCCGGGCGCCGCTTTCAACCTGGCTGCGGGTGCCGCACACCCGAGAGCGCCAAGCCCTTCGGTTACGTGTGGTGTTTGGGCACGTCACTCCGGCGACTGTGAAGCCGGCTCCCGCGGCCAGGCCGGGGCCCACGTGCGGGCCACGCGCGGGCAGGGCCG